TTGTGAATTATATTTGTATGTGAATTATTTCGCACAGACACGGATTGATTAAAGTCTACGTGTATTTACCTCAGTTTCTTCACTGGGGCTAGTTGTCACATGTAGAAGTGGAAACCATGGAAAGTGTTTATAAGACAATAAGGTATTTTTGGTAAACTGTTGGTGGTCGTGAAATATATATTTCAGAAGAGTATTCTTATAAAAACTTGCCACATGTTTATTTTTGATTTTTTTAAATTCTAAAATAAAACAATAAAAAACAATAAATAAATAAGAAACAATCAAAAAATGAAATAAACATTCAATAGAAATTACAAACAAATAAAACAACAAACAAACAATAAATAAATATTTAAAAATACAAATAAAACAAATAAAATTATAGAACAATAAATAAAATAAATATATATACAACAATAACTACATAAATACTTTCTTTTGAGGAAGAACTAGCTGGATAGTTAGTTTTCCAGATTAGTGTAATCACATTTTTGAAGTATATACCTAGAGACTGCATGATATCCATGTGCAGAATGGCATACTAAGCCGTTTTGTGAATTATATTTTTATGTGAATTATTTCGCACAGACACGGATTGATTAAAGTCTACATGTATTTACCTCAGTTTCTTCACTGGGGCTAGTTGTCACATGTAGAAGTGGAAACCATGGAAAGTGTTTTTAAGACAATAAGGTATTTTTGGTAAACTGTTGGTGGTCACATTTTGTTGGGGCAAGTTGTCACCTGTGTTTGATATGTTGTCATTTTATACAATTTATTAATTATAATTTCTGTTATAGTGTGACAACATGCCCCACTATTAGGGCATATTATATGCAACTGCAGCAAAGACTAAAGTCTCAAATCCAAAGAGATATTCTTTATAAAAGTTAAGAGTCAGCCACGCCTACCTAAAACGGCTCGTTCTATTTTATATTTCTATAAAATATTTTATATTTTAAATTTTATATTTGATATTTTTTATATTTAAAGTGAGTTTTTTGGGCAGTGTAGAGTAGGGCTTGTTGTTTGTCATTTCTCCGATCACAAATGCAGACATGGTTTTATGTTTATGCGGCGCGATGCAATGCAACGCAGCGTGTAAAAAGACAGTACAAGTCATTATAATCCATAATTATGTCCCCACTGGATGCAACAAATGCCTCGTTCGTAATGGGTTTTCATGTTTTTGAATCATCGCTCCGGCCGGACAGGGCATAACAGTATGGTAAGGGGTGTAACATTTCCGTCACATGCATTAGGTATTCGGCCAATCATAACACACTGGATAGCTGGCCAATCCGAGCACACCTCGCTTTTTCAGTCCCATGAGCTTTGTAAAAATCGATGCGTTTCAGAAAGGTGGGGCATAAAGGAGAAACAATAATGCATGGTTTTATGTTTACGCGGCGTATTTAAAAAGACGTATAAGTCATTATAATCCATAATTATGTCCCCACTGGATGCAACAAATGCCTCGTTCGTAATGGGTTTTCATGTTTTTGAATCATCGCTCCGGCCGGACAGGGCATAACAGTATGGTAAGGGGCGTAACATTTCCGTCACATGCATTAGGTATTCGGCCAATCATAACGCACTGGATAGCTGGCCAATCAGAGCACACCTCGCTTTTTCAGTCCCATGAGCTTTGTAAAAATCGATGCGTTTCAGAAAGGCGGGGCATAGAGGAGAAACAATAATGTACAGTATGTGGAAAGTAATGTGTTTTTTGAACCTTAAACCGCATAAACACATTTCATTACACCAAATACACAAAATAATGTTCTTTTTAGCAACATCATATGACCCCTTTAAGAACTTTTTAATCTCCAATGTACCATAAAGCAACTCAAGAACCACATATGAGTGATTTAAACACCATCAAGAACATCTTCAGGTCATACATCACTCCAAAAATCTAAAGAAAAAAAGGATGATTTTGGGGTGAAATGAAACATTTTTACTCCATCCTACTTTCATCTTCCAAGATTTCTCTTCGCATTTTATTCAACTTGAGTTGGATTGCCAAAAAGGAATCTAAATCTGTGAGTAAAATCAAGTGCTTTACCAGCGAAGGCTCAGATTTGCAGATGCTGTCCTGTGTAAACTTCTGACGATGAGCTCTGCTCTGTTCATCTTCTGATGGATATCAGAAATTGTTCGGTTTTGAGCCAGTGGGTTGCTGCGATGTTAACGGTTTTAATGTCATATTTAACATCATCACACACATGTGGCTGTAACACACCCACCCGCTCTATCTTTCCCACTCCACTCCATCTTGTTGAAACAACAGTGAATTATGCAAACCCATTTGGAAAGTGGGCTTTAAGTGAGAGCAGATGTTGGATGTATGCATTAGGCTGAAGAAAAGACAAATATCATATTTAAGATCTTATACAAATACTGCATTGACAGACTAATGGTGGCCATTTTTTGCAATGTAATATCTTCAAACTTGATCTACACTTGCTTACAGATGTTAAAAACCACACTTTTAATGGCTAAACAACCCCCTGACCCTTAGTATTATACACTTCAGCAATTAACCTGCCCAGAAATGTTTGTGCTACAGACATAAAAGATTCCTCAAATCATGTGGCTTGTTGAGGAGAGATGTGCTAGTGCTTCTCTATCTCATCAGACTAAGCCATTTTGCCTGGAAAACATTAAAACGGGTAAAAAAAACATTTTGTGTAGGCACTTTTGACTTGAGCACATAAACAACCACTTAGCAACCACCCATAACACTCATTCAGAACACCCTAATAACCATCCCTAGCAACCACATACTGTAGCAATGTGCTAAAATCTGAGAATGTTATGAATTAGTGTTATTAATGCAAACCAAAAATGAATTCACTTCAAGTAAAAGTAGTATGTATACACAGCATATGAGTTGAAACAATATGCATTTTGTACAAAATAAACTTTAATTGAAATGAATATATGGTGCTGATGTTTCAGGAATAAAAAAAAATAGTGGAACAATCACTGAAGAAATTCCTGGACGGAATCATTCATCCTTTTAAAAGGTCAAAATCCAGAGACTGATTTTCCTAAATGAATAAGCCGTGAGAAACATGGTAATAATGTACTGGAGAAACTCACACATGCACACAGAGCAGCACATTTACTACAAAAACCATTACAGCGTCACATCTTGGACACTGACCAACCATGACAGAGCCAACAAGATAATATCTGAGTTACTCACATAACTCATTATTGTCTTAAACTCAACAAACTAACCCATTAATCCATGATTATGGCAGCATACATGATGACCAAACACACTTTCTCTGAGACTCAATAGGAAAAACTAATCAATAACCTCTAGAACTAGATATAACTCTGGTGACGTCACTCAGGCCAGCTGTCCTAAAAATCCAGATGTTCATGACCTGAAGACATGCATTTATTTTTCATGTGAGAGAGAAGGGCTGACAATGAAAGGTTCTACACTCTTAAAAACAAAGGTTCCAAAAGTGATGTCAGAAGAACCATTTTTGGGTTCCCCCAAAGAACAGTTCACTGAAAAGTTCTTAAAGTGATAGTACATCCAAATATCAAAATTTACTGTTAGTTTACTCGACCTCCAAGATGTAGATGACTTTTTTTCTTCAGTAGAGCAGTAAAGAAGATTTTTAGCTGAAACCGTGGTCCTTGATAATTCATAAAATACAAGTCGGCGACTGCCCGTCTTTGAGAATAAAAAAAGCATATAAAGGAACCCAAAATGAATACCCGTGGCTCCTGACGATATACCGAGATCTTATGAAGCGAAACGACCACTTTGTCCAAGAAACTGAACATTATTTATGACATTATAAGCTGCAATCCATAACTTCAGGCAACAGGGAAATTCGATTCTTTTCCATGAACTGGTTTGGTCAGTAAGTTTCAATGAAACAATTCAATTCACTAGTTCGTTTATGTAATCACGCAATGATTACACCATTATTAAAGCACCCGATAATGATGTAAAACATTGATGCATATAAAGTGAATAAACTAGTCTTCATCAGCTCTAGGGCTGCACGAAAAATCGCAAGCGATATTTAACGCGCACCTTATCAGTAAAGCTGGTTCTGTAATCAGCTGTAAATCTCCATCACGTGCGTGCTTTCACATTGAGCAGCATTAACTACACAGAGCCGTTGTTCACTGACGAGCTGCGCAAAACCACGTTCATATTCGCGTGATTTTTTGCGCAGCTCGTCAGTGAACAACGGCTCTGTGTAGTTAATGCTGCTCAATGTGAAAGCACGCACGTGATGGAGATTTACCGCTGATTACCGGCTTTCTGACAAGATGCGTGTTAAATATCGCATGCGATTTATCGTGCAGCCCTAATCAGCTCACATTTTTACATAAACAAAGAGAAACCATAAAATCTTCAAGTGCTGGGTTCACGTACGCACATATCACTGGTTCATCAGGCTTCGTTCTGAGTCGGAACGGTTTCCTCCGTTCAGTGACTGCTGGAAGAACTGGAGCACTGAATGAGTTGGCAAAAAGCAGGAACATAGGATACATGCCGGTATTTTAGCTCATTCGGAGTGACTGTCAGGCACTGTCGTAAGTGAGTTTTGATTGAGTAACTTGAGCCACGAACAGTTTCAGATGGTTCAGTTTGATTTGGTGAACTGGTTCGACTAGTTCAGCAAAAAGAACTGGTTAAAAAGAATGATTCATTCGGGCATCACTCCAGACCATTTGCCTGAGGCTCTGGATTACAGGTAATCTTGTAAATAATGTTCAGTATCTTGCACAGACTGATCATTTCGCTTCATAAGATCTCAATATATCGTCAGGAGCCACGGGTATTAATTTTGAGTTCCTTGATATGCCGTTTAAAAAAATTTTTTTTTTAAATGAACAGCTGCTGACTTGCATTTTATGAATCACCAAGGACCACGGTTTCGGCTAAAAATCTTCTTTACTGTTCTACTGAAGAAATTAAGTCACCTAGTGTCGGCAGATAGCGAATGGATCCATACCTTCTTAGGAGCTCGTGACGGAGGTTTCCTGATGGGTTTGGAGATCTCAAGTCGTTTGGACACCGAGCCGTTGCCCTGTTTACTGGTGGACGGTGAGGGAGACAGGGTCGTGGCTGCAGGACTCATCCGGATGGCCATTTCTTCCGTGCAGGTGAGACGCAGGCTGCGGAAGTACTCGTCAGTCTCTCGGTCAACCACCAGCAGTCTGGTCTCATGTTCCACGGCTTTGATCCGCTGCACAACCTGAGCGCAAGAGAAAGCAAAACTATAGGATGAGCTCTAAGAGATGTGCTTTCCACTGCACTTACATTCACACTGTGTTACTTGATCCTCCTGTCAAAACTGAAACTGCATACACGCCAAAATACCAAGACTTTAACATATGCATCACGTTAGTACGTCTGAGCAGAAAGACAGATCTGGTCATACGGTCTCCTGCTGTAATGCTGTGAAGCGTCCAGCTGTTGTCAAAGCTTCAACACTCTATGAGAGTCAGAGCAACTAAAGATATGCATGGAATTTCATTGTTTATTCACAAGAACATTTTCCACTTAAGTCAGAGTTTCACAACAGGTTTCTATGGAAGCTTGTTTCTGCCACGTGGTCAAAAAGCTTTTTTTATCTGAATTTCGAGATATAAATTTGCAATTGTGAGAAAAAAGTAATAATTGTAAGGTAAAAAGTCGCAATTATCTTTTTTATTCTGTTTAAAAAAAAAAAACAGAATTGAGATTTCCGAGAAGAAAAGTTTGAATTGTCAGACGTAAATTCAGAATTGTAAAATGCAAACTGGAATTGTGAGATGTAAACTCAGAACTGTGAATCCTGAGTTTACATCTCACAGTTCTGACTTGTTTTTCTTATAATTGTGAGAAACGGTCCAAATTGTGAGATAAAATATTGCAATTACCATTTTTTATATTCTGTGGCGGAAATTGGGTTTCATTCGTTTTTTGACATGCAATGCAATTTATTTTCCATGCAAAGTTATTGCCAAAACCTTCTTACCTCAAATAAACGGATGTCAAATGTTTCAAAGACACTCTCTGCTGTTTATACAGGCCTGTATATACACACTACCAGTGGAAAGGTTGGACACACTGACACATTAGAATATCTGTTTTTATACATTTAGAATAACAGTAGTCGTTGAATGAAGTAACACAAATGGCACTATGGGAATAATACAGTGACTGAAACACAACTATGCTCAATCCTGACATTCATGAACAGACATCATGAGGTGCATCCCATTTTTTCCCCCTTCAACTCATCCAGTACATAAAATTGAGGTTTTCTAAGGAATTCATAGTCAATTTACATGTGTAAACTAAACTAATTTCAAGAATTACACGCATGCTAGATCAAAACGCTTTTAGAACATGACTAACATACACTACCGTTTAAAAGGTTTGGGGTCAGTTGATTTTTTTAAAGTAAAAAAAAAAAAAAAAAGACTAGATCTCCTTGCTCCTCCTGCTCACCAAGGCAGCATTTGTTTGATCAAAATACAGTAAAAACAGTAATATTGTAAAATATTTTAAAATGGGATATTAAAGGGAATTTGGGCATTTGAATGAACTTGAAACGTCTGCTGAACTACCGAATGTAAAAGTAAAACCCTTTTTTAAGGCGTAATCTGTCGAGGCTCGTCTTTCAATTGAAGTTTGGCGGCAGGAGCTATTATTTTACAAATGATATACGTATATAAAACCTTTTAAACAAGACGGTATGGTTTTGTGATACATTAAAAAATAAATGTAATCGAAAAGTACATAGCTTCTGCGAGAGAAATGCATTAGCCTGCGAAAGCAGCCTGTGTAACTAACGTTACCTGTGGATGTTCACAGACGCAGCCCAAACTCCTCCATGAGACATTCTGCCCACGGAGAGAGCAACGCAACTGGTGCCGCGGTCCACTTACAAACTGCGTGGCGTGGACTAAGACCGCCCATTAACAGCTACACCAGAAAAGCGCAGAGAATGTGGCCTAAAGAGCCGCTGTTGTTGATATTAAAGGGAATTTGGGCATTTGAATGAACTTGAAACGTCTGCTGAACTACCGAATGTAAAAGTAAAACCCTTTTTTAAGGCGTAATCTGTCGAGGCTCGTCTTTCAATTGAAGTTTGACGGCAGGAGCTATTATTTTACAAATGATATACGTATATAAAACCTTTTAAACAAGACGGTATGGTTTTGTGATACATTAAAAAATAAATGAAATCTTAAAGTACATAATTATAGCACTCGTCATGCCGTATCAACATACTTATTGCAATGGTAAGCGCGAAAGCACCGTTTTGTTATGGTATATATATATATATAAATTAATATTTGAAGAGTTCAGATGCAAGCATCTAAGTCTGAAACCTTCATCTAAAATTAGTATTTTTATCAGGCTCCTATATGTTCATTTGTTTCACTTTAATGGTATAGAAAAGGACCTATACATTGTCACTAAAGTAAAAAAAACGGAACCTAAACATATGAGACTGATAAGAAGAACATTTCAGCTGGCACGAGGCTTTTGCGTCTGCTCTTCATATAAACATGTCTCTTAAAAAAAAAAACTTTGAAGAAAGGTTGAAACCTTAATATGGTTTAACGGGCCATCTCACCATGACTGGCGTCCTACAGACTAATAACAATTCAGTAAATGGAAATAAGAACTAGCCCGCATTACTAACATAAGTTCACTTCGGCGCGCGACCGTGGAATGAACGAAGGAAGGTGCATGACCAGAAGAAAGTATTTGGCGCTTATAGCACAGGCTCATGCGCAGCTTCGCATAAAATATCAATAAATAATGTGAATTTGAGAACATTTCAGGTCACAACCCACATATAGGACAACCACGCATTGAGGACAACAGCAGCCCGACTGTGCTGCACTCTAGTGGCCACTACTGTAGTGCGTACGATCCATTAGACGCACTCAATTAATAAAGTGTATATATATATATACACACTAAAGCGGATACCATAAAAAACATTTTCGTTACTTGAAATAAAGTAAAATATTATATAAAACATAAAAAAATAACATTACATACAATTGGTTTAAAAATGCAGAATAGCTCATTTCTGGAACTCCAATTTAGTGGGGCTCAGGGGTTCTTCCTAATTTTCTGTAGGCTCTGCCAATTATTTATTAATTAAGGGTATATGACCTCAAACATTTTTGTCAAATAGCCAATTACCATATAAAAAATGATCTACAACTAATTACTGATAAAACTCACCGTCTTGCAATTCCAAACTTGTGACTTTTTCTTCCATAAAAACATAAAAAGGTTATATATATATATATATATATATATATATATATATATATATATATATATAAAAATAAAAAAATGTACTTTTTTCAAACTTATTTTAACCACTCAATTTTTAAACCACACTTCAATTATAAAAATAAATAAATAAAAATAATACTACAAATATCCTCAAAATGTAAATTCTTTACTGGTACAACTCATAGTACTGTAGCCATTTTATAACAACAACAAAAACGAACCAAACTAAATATAAACAGACCGATATGCACTGAATAGCATTTTACAAAAACACTGCACAAAGTCCTATTTCTTAGCTAAATTTCCATCAAATAAATAGTCATGAACAAATCAATAGTATTTTACAAACGGACTCTTTTAGGTCAACGCAGCGTTGACGGTGCGGCTCTATAAACCAACCCGACTTTTTAAACATATCCAATGAATCACATAGGACTTGTGCAACTTACATTTCCTTTATAAAGACATAACAGTGCATTGTCTACTTTAACTAAAATGCTTAAAAACACAATAAAAAGGAAAATGATGACGATGACAGGGCGCACCCCTTTATGTAAAATAAACACTGATATAAGTCGATTAAAAAGGTCTAATTACAATAAGTTACATTCCTGCAGAGTATCGTGACTGTGATATGACTACTTATGAGAAACAAACAACTGAGTGAGTGTTTTATGTCCAGTTTTGTTCAAATGTACACATATTAGTCCACATGCGGTCCATAAACCATCCGAGTTCAAACTAGTGTCCTGCAACTTATGGCTGTTATGAGAGAGAAAAAAAAAAATCCCTTTAAAAAGCATTAAATGAAGTGCCTGTTGGGTGAAAACTTGTCTGGGTCATATTCTACCCTATATATATATATATATATATATAAATTATAATAATAAAAATTATATATATATATATATTTCTGTATTACAATATTTTTTTAACTGTATTACAATAAAAAAAAAAATCAAATGAGTACAAATTAAAAAGCAGTTGAGCAAATGCTATTACAATGTTAAAATGTAACAATGTTTTTTTTTTGCATTAATAATAATAATAATAATAATGAGAAAGCTCTCTAAGTAACCCTAAAATAGGATGTTTCATAAATTTTTTGGGATGAAATCTGATCCAGACATGATCTCGTCAGATTTTGTGGGATTTAGCGGTTTAGCAGTGGTAAAGGTTTTATACCAACAAATACTCCCTCTTCTAGCTGATGGCCACTCTCTGCGACCTTGTAGACTAGTTAAAGCGGCGGAGACCAGTGGACGAGGCTGAAGTCAAGCTTGGATACTTACACTAGTGTGTCCTGAACCTCACACCTCTCTGTACATTCAGAAAACAAAGGAAAAAAACAAAACAATGTACACGGAATGAGAGAAGCATGTTCTGTCTGAAGGCACAGATACCTCTACGGGTGAGAGCACATGGGGGCAGGAGCGTAACACAGGGCCCAGCCGAAAGGGCATGAATCAGTGCAAGAACAGGGACTTGGGAAGAAAATGAGTGGGAATCCTTTAGCTTAAACACATCGCTCTTTCCCACTGTGCTCCTTGTAATTCTGTTTCGGCCATCATTCGTATTAAAGTCTTAAAAATGTAGCTTGCAAGCCCAGTTTCATCCGTGCTGCAATAAAGTCAGAGCGTTTCCTGTATGTACATAAAGGGTTATATAGTAATGTACAGCGAGGCCTGATTACTGAGTGTGAGGTTTGCCGTGAACTCTGAAGCGATACAGGCAGGTGTATTCGGGATGACCCCAGTTCGACAGCACTCGCATCTCAATGATCTGAAAGGCCTTGTCATTCTTCTCCTAGAAAAAATAAAATAAAAATAAAGGCAAAATGAAACGTGGTCAGAACTTCATTGTAGCTCTATTCCAAAACCTAGTAAGCAACATAACCAAAATTAAACTACATAAATGACTGGTATGGAACATAAAGTGCATGCAAGACTCAATTTACAATGTATTCCAACAGATTTTGGCAGTAGCAAGTTGCTAATAACACTTTTTTACTAGCTTGTTGCAATCCATTCTGGCATAGCCTTCTCTGAAAATTACACATGCAATGCTGAATTTGGTCAGAAAGTGAACTGCATGTTGCCAAGCTAACGACAATAAGCACAAAGAAACAAATAACACACAAATAATAGGTTAAAAGGTGAATGTTTAATTATATTGAACTATTTTTGCCGCTGCTGCCTACATTTTGGAACATTCTCATTTTATTTTCAAATTCCATTTTATTTATTTTCCCAAATTGTTTTTTTCCTTTATATATGTTTAATATAAAATTGTATTAGCCAAAAATTGTCTAATTAAATATTCATAAAACATTAACAATTGAATAGTCTATTAAAATTAAGAGTGTAAAACACCACAAGTGTCGCACATGCTTGAGTATTTGTAGCAGACGAAACTGTGGTGCTCATTCACACAGAATATTGTGCTCTAATATTATTTACAGACACTAGTCCATATCGTGATTTGTTTAAATGTACAGCCCTACTTTTGATCCATTCATCAGACTTTGGCCAAATCACGTAACATTCCATGTTATACAGTAAATTCCATTTTTAGGACTGGATTCGGCGATTCTGCAAATTCCGGATGCACATATTTTACCATAACTGGGAAGGTCTGGAGTGATTCTCCATCTTCTTGATAAGTGTAGTCACCCAGCAGTTTCCCTTCCTCCTGGTATTCATCATTCAACCCCTGCAGACGCAGACAGCAAGACTTACATATCGCACAACATGGGGCTATACACCACTTCTTAGCACAAAACTCATTGGGTTAAGCATAAATAGCCATAAGTATATGCGAGCACATGCTCATACACATCAGACATAAGTGCACATTCTTACATAGACAGAGAATCGTTGTGGTGCGCTGCTAATGTTTCCAGAGGGAGAGAGGCTTTTGGGAATATGCTCCAGGCAGAAGGAGGTAGGGATCACGCTTAAAGAGAGCCTGATCACCAGATAACCTTGGGAGCCTTTAAATGCCCAGCAGTTTCCTGGGTACATGTCCGGCTACAAGGCAGACAGAAATTCACATCAAACATCTGGGTCTTACATATATTGTTACGTATGATGCTAGTTCAGTAAAAGTGTGTAATTCAAGGTTTTACCTGGATGACGACACGTGGCGACTGCGAGAAGTACCACAGCGGGAGTCCAAACAGGCTCATCAGTGCTGTTTTAGTCTCGTATGTCTCAGAACAGCGTGTGCTGAGGATACTGCCACCTGCACACACATGGGTCTCACGTCAAAACCTCTTTGAAGGGCCAGTGATGTTCATATGTATGTGTTTTGTAGACATGCTTACCTCCAGACTCCAAAGCGTAGTCCACCTGTCCGGTGCGATCCTCAGAGTACAGCTTCAGCGCGCGCTGGACGATCAGCTGGACTTGCTGGGAAATTGAGGGGGAAAATGGTTGTTATTAGAAAAGAGATTTCAATGGCATTGGCATGTTAAAGAAAAAAAATCTGTTTCCTCAAATATGGCCCATTAAATCATTTAAATTTGCTCATTCTTCACACAATTTATTCACACTTGCCATTCATATTCTAACATATTGG